CCAATTCATTACATTTCTTGCCTTTGCAAAAAAGAATGAGTGCCACTAACCCACATGGCAGATTCAATGACAGATTAAGCAATTGTCAAAAATGGGAAATTCCTTATTTCAGATGGTTACTTAGTATCAGATATTGAAATCAAATAATAATTTTGCTGTCACATATAAGCATATTTTAAATCTTTTGTCATTGATTTTTATATTCTCTTTCTTCTTCATTAGTGTAATTAGTGATAAATCAGTAATTATAATCTAGCTTCTGCATTCACTCAGCAATTCCTACTTTTCAATTTAATAGAGACATTCAAAGATAATTCAGTCAGGCACATTAATTTCCCTTGACAGGAATGAATTCAATATTAATCTAGAATATGCAATATGCATTATGGTTCTATTGCGTAACTTTTGCAATTATACTTTAGGTGGTACATAAGTAATTTAAATTCATAGTCATGATTTACAATGAGAGGATTAAAAAAATGAGCAATTAGTAAACTAAAATGAATGCATGAATGAATTTGTTGTTTACCTGCATACCTATGGGCCTCAATAAATGACAAGAAAAGATGGACAGGAACCTACTATCAAATCAAAAGTATATGTCACCTCGAAATCAATACACCACACTCAATTACCCTTCATACATGTGTGTAATAACACTTATACATGTAACATACCACAGTAAATAAAAAAAGGTCTGCTTATACCCTCCTCAACCAAACAATTTCTTATGCATTTAAGACTTGGGAATATGGGGTTATTACTTAAAACTTCAATTTAAGATATGTATAAAAAGTTGCTTTGATATATGAAATTCAGACACATTAAAGAAGATGGCATGAGATATGTATGAAAAAAAATTGCCAGATGCATGTTTATTATGCAAGACTGACTGTTTTATTGTTAAATATATACATTTCTAGCAAAAACTTATGTATAGCAACACATATACCACTGAGTTAGATTTTAATTCCTTTTTGTTTGATAGATGCTGAATTAGAAGCTTTGAATAAAGATAGGGGAGGGAGAAGGGGTGTTTGGCCAAGTACAATGCCTTTGGAAACCTGTGCTAAATGAAGATAGATGCTTTAATTATTCCTTGATTAGAAATTCATAAGGCTAAATTGGCATGATAATAATTACATAAATTTTCAAAACACTCCTTTTTCTTGATAATTATTATTAAAAAAAAAAAAGAAAAAGAAAATCATTTACACTTCCCCTTAGTGAACAATTTTGATTTTACACATTTAATAAAAAAAAAAACAACGACAAAAGAACACACATATAAAGTAAACCTGGATATTTTTTCAGTTTTCATGTTTTTATGATATTTCTTATAGATTAGAATTTTTCACCTACCCCTTTGGTCTGAATTAGAGCAGAGCCCCTCCAGCCTCACTACATATAGATCAAACAATCAGAGTATATCACCACTGATAACAATACCATACATCCTGTAGAACAGATTCAATAAGAACTGATTTAATGCCTCCTCTAAACATAGGATACAGGTAAACACACCAGTTGTCAAATGCATATCTTAAACGAAAAACAAATGGCTACACTAGGCACAGTGGACATGTTTTATTATATGGAAGTAGCTTCACTGTTCGCCTCCTGTTAAATGATGGCTTTATAGGCAAAGTAACAGCATTTATGGCTTCAACAAATGATTCTATTGCAATGGCAGTCCAACATGACAGTACAAGGTCAACATCAGTTCGTATATAGTACCAAAGCCTGGTTAATCTGCTTAATATTATAAACAATACACAGTGCCTAGTGAGGCAATTATTTGGAGATATTTATTGTAACTGTTAATGACTGGCTGCTTGTGGTACCATGTCTCAGTCTGCATACCCCTACCTCTATCCTTAATCATTTACAGATGTCTATACATGTAACAAAGGTGCAACCATTTCAGTTGTCTTTTCTCTGTACACAGAGTATTCCCCCTTCAGTTTACAGATGTCCAAAAAAAAAATGTACTCCGAGTTCAGTTTCTAGTTGTAAACAAAAGTACAAGATTACAGATCTAGAATATCCATTTAATCTGGATCAACCATTTTATCTCATTGCCTCATTTCTCATTTGCTTCCTTCATTGTTGGACAGATACAAATGTCCTGAACCCCCTCCCCCTTTTTTCAGACTCTGTGTGGGGGCTACCCAGACTGGGATTTGGGGAACCCTTGGAGAGCTATGGAATGCCTGGTGATTCACTGGTATATATCTTATCTGAGAGGGTTCTGTTATTTGTGGAATCTCCAGGAACATCAACAAATTATATTTACACTCTGCTATCTTCTGAACAAATATTACTCTCCAAGCCTACCATACATACAGATAGGTTCTGTACACAAGGCTACATCTCTCTCTCTCTCTCTCTCTCTCTCTCTCTCTCTCTCTCTCTCTCATTTTCACTCTTTTTTGGTGTTTAAGAAGGAAAATCATTATTTAAATCTAAGGAAAATTTCTTACCCCCCAAAACAAAATCACAATTGAGTGCAACATTTTGCAGAGACTATAACTCCAACTTAAACAATAATTAAAGTCTTCTAAAAGACTACTTGATTACTGATTCATACACTCAAGATATGTGCATTTTTAAATGTTAATTTCAATTTCACAATTTCATTAGTGCTCTAGGTGATTTATTTCATTGAGTTGTAATGCACAGATAGAATCAAAACAAACACTGATGTCCCCTGTATGGCAGCTAATGGCCAAGGTTTAAGTTTTTTAAAAGTTGGTCAAATCTATGGTCAAGAGGTCCAAAATGTTGGTACCCAAAGAAAGGTCTTACTAAAAGGAATACACAAGTAAAATATGTAAGCCCTAAAACATTCTTTAAAGGTTATATGGACAATGTTAAAGTCTTTCAAAAAGTAAGAAAAACCCTAAGGTCAAGGTCAAAAGTGAAGATTGTTGGAACCAAAAGAAAAGTATTGTCACAAGGAATACACATGTGAAACACGTAAAATCAACCATTAAAAGTTAAAAGTTATAGCCAGGGTTAAAGTTTTTCAAATATAGGTCAAACTCCAAGGTCAAAAGGTCCAGCATTGTTACCCAAAGAAAGGTATTGTCACAAGGAACACACGTGTGAATTATAAAAGCCCTTGCACTAGCTGTTCAAAAGCTATAGGAAAAGTTAAAGTTTTTCTAAAGCAAGTCAAATTCCAAGGTAAAGCTCAGAAGGTAAAAAATGTTGGTACCCAATAAAAGGTTTTATCACAAGGAATACACATGTGAAATGAAAAAAGCCCTATTACCAATGATTCAGGAGTTATGGCCAAGATCAAAGTCTTTCAGAAATAGGTCGAACTCCAACATCAAGGTCAAAAGGTCAAAAAGGTTGATACACGAAGAAAGGTCTTGTCACAAGGAACACACATGTGAAATATAAAAGCCCTAGCACAAATTATTTAAAAGTTATGGCCAAAGTTATGTTTTTTCCAAAGTAGGTCCAATTCCAAGGTCAAAGTTAATGGGTAAAAAATGTTGGTACCCAAAGAAAGGTCTTGTTAGAAGGAATTCACAGGTGAAATAAGAAACCCTAGCACCAACTGTCAAAACCAAATTTTTGACCAAGGTTAAAATTTGGTTAAATTTTGCAGAAGTGGGTAAAACTCTAAAGTCAAGGTCAAGAGTTCAAATATAAGTACTCAAAGAAAGGTCTTGTCACAAGAAATACACATGTGAAATATGAAAGTCCTAGCTTCAACTGTTCAAGTTATTGGCATGCAACGTTAAAGTTTTTGTGGACAAACAATCACAAACACACAGACCTAAAACTATATGCCCTGGAATCTTCAAAAATAGGGGCATAATTAGAACTGGAATGGTTTGCAATACATGAAAGGATGTCATATTTGAATTTAGAAAACCTTTCAAATGTATTTCATATTGATCAACTCACAAGAAACAGATTGAAACAATTCACACAATGCCAGAAGTTTGTGAAGAATCTATCAATAAAGACAAAATCATGTGTTACAAAAACTTGTAACCATGACAATATTGTCTGCAAAGAAAAACACTTGTCATAATGAGAAAATGCCAGGGATTGGAAGCTTCTCGTTAGCGGTTATCCTCATAATCTATCTGTTCTAATTTTGCCTTACAAAAATAAGGACACAAGCATACCTCTAACTCTGATTGAAAAATACATTCCCCATACCATAGTATGAAATGAGCCTGCAGTTCCAAGCCAATACAGGTACACTGCTACTGCTTTTTGGGAGGCACAAACATATATCAACATATAGTAAAAGCAGATTTTTTTTTCAAAACAAATAAACAACAAAAACCAAAGCAATTATACAGGAGAGAACTATATTCCAAACTATTTTTGCTTTCTGGGATGCTTGGGAGGTTTAGAAACATAAAAAAGTATAGTATTGTTTGCCAATTAAATGGATAAGAACTATACAAGGATTTTTCAAAAGTTTATGCAAGAAAAATGGGCTTATAGAACATAATAGCATAAGCTAATGCAGACACAAGAACATTGTATCTGCATTTGGAATCTTTGATATTTTTGCATTCTCTGCAAATAATTCAACAAGTGTCATTTTGTCTTGGCAACTATTTGGGATCTAATGAACATTAGACCTTGCACAAAAAAGAAACAAAGACATGCCTAATTACCTTTACAGCATCAGCCATATGTGTGCATATCAGAGCCAGGCATTGATATGCAGAGAATGCAGGTCATAGGCAGTTGTGCAGTTTACATAACCTCTCTTTTGAAGAATAAAATCCATTAACCTAATCAGTGCACACCCATTTTTAAAGCATCTCTGCATCCTGTTTTCACAATGGCATGTCCTTGTGTATTCAAATCAATCAGACTATTTCGATGCTAGTCTAAGAATATTGCATGATTTCTTGCATTTTTCTTATAAGCCAAATGTAAGTGGTATAGATTAAAAATAACTTTTTATATTTGGTTTTGTGGTATATTTGTAAGCCTGCATTTTGTTCAGTACTCACTTTAATCCTGCTTCCTTGTCAGACACAGATTCTGGCTGTGATTCTAAACGACAGCAAGGGGAGAGCACTCACATTGTGTGGAACTAGCCACTGTAAAACAATAGAAAGGCATGATAGCAAAGACAATGCTAAATACCCCCAAAACAGTAAAAATGCCAATAGATTTATCAATCTATGGCAAGTAACTTTTTTAAAATAATACAAGTCTCAAATATGCATGCATATAGTTTTCCATTTTTCATTTTTACTGTATCAGCTTTCAATTGTAGAGAATCTTGGTTTGAAATTGTAGTTTGATTTATAATGACTAATGCATCTTGTATTTAGATTCAAACAAGTTTTATTTCTTTCAATTCATTTTAATTTGTTTTTTGGGTTATAAAACAATTTTAATCATGATTAATATCACTTGTATTAGCCTAATCATGGTCATAAAAGTAAGAATTCCTCTTACATTGATTAAGAGTAATAATAATGGTATAGGGAAAATTAGTCATAATTTGCCCTCTCGGAAAGATGACACCAATTTAAACTAAATGAAATGAATTGCAGAGTCTCTGTGTCTATCTCTTGTGACAGAATGGAGACATTTGGACACACATTAAAGATTGCCAGAATTGCAACATGATGGGGTAATTAGTGGTATCTCTTTGATCTCATTTTCACCTGACTGACACCAGCAACTGTTGAGTGCCAGCCCCAATCTGCTCTCAGAACAAATCAGTTTCTTTTCTCAGCAATGTGCTGCAAAAACACAAGTCCTTCTGCCAACTCATAACTCTTTTGGTTAGACCCTCAAGTACTCATAAGAATTTACAACTGCTCAAACTTCAGGCGAAAAAAAATGAAATAGTTCTCAAACACTTAATTAAAACCTTTTTGCATATACTTGTTTATATATTTTGTTTTGGATTCTAGAGGGCCAGAAGGCAAATTATGAGGAGCAAACAGCTTTCATACTCAGATAGCTTAAATTTCCTGTAATTTTCACAACCCTCTTGAACTCCAACCCCATTTACCATGATGACCATCTAGTACCTGATGTTGAACCCTACAACATTAGTCATACTGCAGGAACTGGTTTCCTTCAGCCAGTTATTTTTAGTTCCTAATGAGCATATTGACCTCTACTGGTTCTGTTTACACTTTTCTTATACATAACAGACTGCAGACCCAAAATACACACATCACTGTAGTCGGCACAGCTTTGGCGAAGTATTCAAAGAATTCTGAGGCCTCTTCACATTATGTGGAGATTGCCAGATGAGCATAATTAACATTAGACTTCATATATCACAGTATCATATCAGAACCCCCAGCTTGCCCTCAAACTCTTCACCTCTGCACTAATTAGTCTAACAACCTTCTTTCTACAGCAACACCTACCATTGCCTTACAACTGGTCTTCCTGTTTAGCTCAAAGTACTTTGAGAGAAATTTACTATAAGCTTTATGGTATATTGTAAGTGCTCTTTGAGTGTTTTTTTTCTGAAATGCACATGAAAGAAAAGTCAAGGTCTTTTCTAGAGTATTTTAGGTTTCCATGATTAAGTTGCAGCATTGCAGATCACCATTTCCTATGCAATTTTGTCAAATTGCTTATAAGCAAGATCCACTTCTAAAGAATTCCAGATTTTGGTTAGAAATTCTTGCATCAATCTGCAAGCATAAAAAATTAAATTTTTTTTCTTTGTCTTACTGACCTGTAATTCAAATATCCAAATTATATTTCAACAAACACAAAACTTTTTGGCTTCTTCACAGATAATTACAGTACACAGCCATTTTTCCTGTTACTATAGAATGTTTTGTGTATAGTGAGGATGCCAGAAACATTCTCAAAATGACACTTGTCTTCTCCAATTACATCGCTTCTGTATACACATTACTGCATCAGATCCAAGCATTAACATAATGTACACACTGTTGCATTTTTATGTTTTTACCATACTTATATTTGCCTGCATCTGATAGAGGGGGAAAAAAGCTTATAATCTTTTATCAATTTTTGTGTATTCAATATCATGAAAAATGCCAGAAAACCTACAATAATGACTCACTCCAAGAATATGCAAAAATTGGGGATATTTAAATTGAGCTTAAATCAAAATATACATTGAAACCCCAATTTACTTGTTTAGCCCTGATAAACCAGCATTTGTACCTTCAGAAGATGAAGATCTGCCAGTAGCACACAGTGGGGTTTCCTTAAAGACCTTCTCCAGAATGATAGAAGGACCACTTACAAATCCATATTGTGCAGCTTTTCAGTGGCAACAAAGAAGCATGCATGGAACTGAGCAACCATTAATCTCTTTTTTAATACTGTCCAGAATGCATTGCCAATCATTACTTGTACATCCAGAATTAAACTGTTTACTGAACAGATTTGATGTGTAGAATATCTAATTAATCCACAATTAATCACTTAATTGGGATTCTAGATCAGCCCTGAGGGAATTGGGAATCCTGGAGTATTAATTGCATTCATCAGTATAAATCTATTACTGTAAGAAATGGTGATACCGAGTGAAATGAAATGAGAAAGATCAATAAAGTCATTCAAAAGGACTCCTCCCCCCACCCCCACCCCCCAAAAAAACTTTAGAGCAAGATGAACCAAAAATGTATCAAATCTTTTTCTGATTGTAGCTATTTCATCAACATATGTTCATTTTTTTTCCAAAGAGCAAAGATTCTATATATTTCAATCACTATGAAGAAGACAAGCCTGTTGTACAGAGAAACATGTAAAACCTTCTCGTGAAAACATGTGTTAGCATTGGTATTTTGGGTGTTCCCTGATAATTCTACACTAAGGTAGAAATCAAAAGTACTGGGCCAAGTTATGGTTGACTTGTCACAACCAATCAAATTGAGTACTGTACTTTTAAATAAAAAGTCTGCCATATGTCCAAACTTAATGCCATTATAAAAAAACAAGGAACTACTCCACAAAAGTGCAAATGATTGCACCACAATTAAATTCAAGGTGCATACACTGGAATGTTTTATAAGCACTGAAATATACTGAAATCACCCTTAAAATTAAATTAGTTGGTCTTCATCACCCCTTAATGGCTGCTAGAGGTGTACTAAACATGTAGAGGAAAGATTATGCACATGTTAGAGGAGTGAGTTGGCTACTGATCGACTTTACAGACATATTCTTGCTATAAGCTTGAGGGAAAAACTATTTATATCAGCTATCATGCACTTGTGTTAAATTTTACAACACTTTATATAGACATCCATTCATCACATGAAAGTGACAGACTTTTGACAGGTTAATAAAACAAATCTTTTATTTCTAAAAATGATACTCAGATAATGCAAAACATCCTATATGATTCCATAAATAAACATTTAAACAAATGTATAAGCCACAAAAATCATTGCCTACCTGTAAAAACCAGCTGTCTAGAGTATATACACTTCAAAATAAAACACAACAAATTACAAGATTGAGGTTGTCAGAATCGTGTAAGTTGTCATCAGAAATCGTGGGTAGGGAGGTTCCCAGTGCCAAGATTTTCCTCCACCTCTCACTACATTAACTGCTCGGAGCCATGTTGGAAGTTTGTGTGTGTGTGTAGAGAGAGGAAGGAGCTGCTGAGGTAATCTGACACTCCTCACCTCTCAGTAACTAACAGTTTATACCCTCCTTAGGCATTACTAAACTAATGCTGTGTTTTGTTAATAACTAAAAACCTTCTCTTTTTTTTTTTTTTTACACCTTTTGAATAATTGTTGGGATTGTCTACTCCTTAGTGGATAATTGTGCATCTGCATTTACTTTCAATTTAAAGATAAGACACATATATATTCTTATCAAATTCTTCAATTACTTGCCAATTAATTAATTCTTCTTACATAGTTAAAAGTATACAGCTGTAAATGTAATAGAATTATACATGCATGTTTTTATTACATTTACAGCCATATCTTAACAAATGATCAATGGGAGGTAAAAAACTAGAAATATGTCCATAGGACATGAATGCCCCGCCAAGGGTATATTAGTAATGCAACATTTTAACACAAATTGAGAAAAGTGAGGTCAAGGTCAAAGGAAAGGTCAAGGTCAAAAAATATTGCTGCAGTTGAATAGCTTACATCAGTATGTATCAGCATATGACGTTTGATTCAGAAACTAATTTAAGAAAAGTGAGGTCAAGATCAAAGGAAAGGTCAAGATCAAAAAATGTTGATGTAGTTGAAAAGGTTACATCAGTATGTATTAGCATATGAAGTTTGATGAAAATATTATGAATGGTTTCTTTAAAACTGAGCTAAACACTAATTTAAGAAAAGTGAGGTCAAGGTCAAAGGAAAGGTCAAGGTAAAAAAAATTGATGCAGTTGAATAGCTCTCATCAGTATGTATCAGCATATGAAGTTTGACACTAATTTAAGAAAAGTGAGGTCAAGGTCAAAGGAAAGGTCAAGGTCAAAAAATGTTGATGCAGTTGAAAAGGTTACATCAGTATGTATTAGCATATGAAGTTTGATGAAAATATTATGAATGGTTTCTTTAAAACTGAGCTAAACACTAATTTAAGAAAAGTGAGGTCAAGGTCAAAGGAAAGGTCAAGGTCAAAAAATATTGATGCAGTTGAATAGCTCTCATCAGTATGTATCAGCATATGAAGTTTGACACTAATTTAAGAAAAGTGAGGTCAAGGTCAAAGGAAAGGTCAAGGTCAAAAAATGTTGATGCAGTTGAATAGCTCTCATCAGTATGTATCAGCATATGAAGTTTGTTAAAAATATCTTGAATGGTCTCATTAAAACAGAGCTAAACATTAATTTAAGAAAAGTGAGGTCAAGGTCAAAATAAAGGTCAAGGTCAAAAAAATGTTGATGCAATTGAATAGCTTACATCAGTATGTATATATGAAGTTTGATTACACTATCTTGAATGGTATCTTTAAAACTGAGCTAAACACTAATTTAAGAAAAGTGAGGTCAAGGTCAAAGGAAAGGTCAAGGTCAAAAAATGTTGATGCAGTTGCATAGCCCTCATCAATATCTATCAGCATATGAAGTTTGATAAAAATATCTTGGATAGTTTCTTTGAAACTGAGCTTTGAACAGAGCTAAACGCAAAGTGTGACGGAAGGACAGACGGAAGGACGGAAGGACGGAAGGACGGAAGACGGACATGACAAACACTATATGCCCCGGCCATATTCATGGCGGGGCATAAAAATTACAATTAAATGACTATACATGTATATCAAATTACAAGCATTTATATTTTCATATCAAATAATTTCCTACTTTTGATAAATTCTACTGTATGCACAATTTTGATCTGGTAGGACAAAATCTGTCTTTATGTTACAGTCAAATATTGGTTACTTACAAAGCTCAATGAACATATTCCTGGTTATTTCTCATAGCATCTCATAACATTATTTCTCTATGAACATATATACTCCTGTTTATTTCTCTTATCAGAGCTTAACTGATTTGTTGCGTTCAATTGATAACTAAATCTAAAAATTTATGACTCACAACTGAACCAAAATCCATTGAAAATTTGTGAATAAAAAATGTTAATGATGCAAATATTTAGGGAATATTTGTCCTTAGACCAACTTTGTTTTCAGCTAGTAATTCTACAATCAATATAATATTTGTGTTTGTTTAGAAAAAGAAAATTCCTAAAAAATCAAGCTTGCATAATCAGCTATAACATTTCTGTTGAGTTACTTGAACTTTCATTGACATTAATTGTCAACAAAGCATTTTTTAAAACACAAAATTTCTATATTTCTTGTTCCTTTTTTAATGGGCAAGGACTGTCAGTGCATTTAAAATGAATTGTTAAAAAATATTTTTTTTTTCAAAATTAGGCCATGAACTCATTTTAGTTATATTAATTCTTTGAACATTGTAATAAAAAATTGGGAATTCAAATCATCTACAAAATATGGTACACAAAAATTGCATTCATATTAATGTATTCATGCAGATACAATATTATTTTATTATTTCATTTCTGTCAAAATGTTTACGATTGTAGTAAATAACTCGCTCTGAAAAAACATTTTCAGATTTTAAGTGACAAACTGCAAATGAGTTCCTGGTTAAGTGGGGTCAAACCCTTGATTCACCTTTGGCAATTCCCCATGAAATTCCTTGAAATGTACATGGACATGGCTAATTGAAGAGGAGGCTTTGAAGTTAAGAACCCTCTTGACAAAATTTATCCTTATGTCTCCGAAGGCCCATAAAACAGCTGTTTTTGATAGATTCTTTAAAAATGATTTCTATATTCAGTGAGTATTTCATACTTTTTTTCACAATTCAGAAAATTTACTTTTTATATTTTGTATATTTGTTGTTGACATTTTTCTAGAGGTTCATATATTTTCACATCTCACTAAAACTCATGCTACAAACAAAAAATTGGATGCATTGATTTGTACAATATATATTTTTGGACTTATTTTTGGTCTTAAATGATGGCATATATATCAAATCTCTAAAATATTAAGAAATTGTAGACTTTCTATGATGCTCAAATTTCTTCCTTGTTGCCATCAACCCTTATAGATCTGTGCAATTTTTATCACTTATTTATTAGACATTATTCAGAAACTTGAAGCAAAAATGAAACTTATTCACCTTACTTTAAAAAAACCCCCACATATTTAAATATATATATATATATATATATATATATATATATATATATATATATATATATATATATATATATATATATATATATATACCCTAGCTTGTTTCAATGTAACTTGATAATGAGTACTGTTTTAGAGCTACCCATTACTTAAAATAATCATACAGTGAGAGTGGATGGGAAATGGTTTATCTAATTTAAAATACACCACAAAATAGTCAAAATTCTATGGTTTATCTATTACTACTAACCCCCATGTAAAAGAGTACATATAGTACACAAACATTTTAATTTCTAATAATTGATATTATATCCTTTAATGGAAATTAACTGTCAATTAAAAAATAAATGTAAGATTTTGATACAAGTATATAAAGGGTAAAATGGAAAAGAGATGGAATCAAACAATATTTGAATAAACTACTGTAAAGTACCTATACTCCATCACCTGAGCTTTTAACTTTGTGGCTTTATAAAGAAACAATGTTTTCCACAAAATATATGTATGATTTTTATTTCAATATTTTTTTTTTTAAATGTGTACAAAGTGGTTCAATATCATGTCTCTTTCACTTCATTGTAATATGGGTTGCAATAATCTTTGACTATTATAACATAGTGATTTTCTTCTCTAATACATGTAAAGCTGTTGTTAAGCATGTAACAGCATTCAAAATTTGTACAAAATCTTGCTTGCTTCATCCTTGATTCATTGGCCCCATCCTGACAGCCTCATCCCCAAAGTTACAAATGTGAGAGCCATAATTAAATAAGTTTTCTCCACACAACAAGTTAAAATTAAAATGACTATCATTAGGAAGGAAAGTCCCCCAAAATAATTAAAAAGATACGAGAGAGAGAGAGAGAGAGAGAGAGTTAGTTCCCTTTCCCCATGAGAATGTGATTGTTACATGTAAACTGCAAAAACGACTAAGTTTACAAGACATTCACACTGTATCTGTTCTGCAGACAAAATTCCTAAAAATCATTGAAGACAAAGGGAAGGAAATTTTCCTTTTCCATTTGTATCACAGGAGAAAAAAATAACAAATTTTTAATCTTTGTCACAAAAAGGAATAAAATATGATTTGCTATGACTAAAACTTCGAGTTGTTTTTGAGTGCAAAATATTTGTGCATCATTCACCTACAATCATACATAAAATGATGTTATCTGTGGCAATCTGAACATATTCCAGGAATGCAGACATGCAGGTTCAATATTGGCATTAAATTCTGATCATTTAAACTAAAAGAATTCTGATCAAATTTAGATTTGGTAATAAATTACCTTGGTAAAGAGACATACAAATTTTGAATATGAATTGGAATTTTTGCACTTTTAAATGAAATCTTTTATATCTTTAAGAATCATGCTTACAGCTGATATGTTAATTAGGCAGTACATCCTTCATTATCAACTTTTTTTTTTAATTATGAGAGCCAAAACAATTCTCATAATATTTATTGTGCAAAGGTATGGAATTGCATGAAAATATTGTAATTTTCATGACATTAAGTATCAATAAATATTTGTATTCTTGATTAATAATATTTCACCCTTTTTTTTCTTCATTTCTTCAACAGACATCTTTAATTTAAAAGGTTAAAATTCAAGAAATTTTTTATGTCTAGTACTAATCATCTACCAAAACAAAACAATCAAAATATATATATTTTTTAAAAATCTATGTCTGCAATTGAAAAAAAAATTGCATTGATGAAAAAAAAAAATATGCAATAAAAAACTTTAAAAGTAAAAATTCTGGGGAAAAAACTTACTTTAGTAACATTAAGATTTTATGTCCGTCCTCACAAACAGCAGAGCTATTTTATCCTTGAAAAAACAAATACAAAATAACGAAAAAAATTACTGTTCACACCTCTCCAAGAAAATCAAAGTTTGCCAAATCTCCCTCTCTACTGGAGATGC